ATTGATATCACGCAATGATTTGCAATGACTAATTAGTATACAGTATTGGCTATATTATGGGAACATTTTCGCAGCATTACACTTCAGATATATGTAAATGTGCAGTTGTCATACAAATATTCAGTTGTGAACTATAATTAAGAACGTCTGGCCATAGTTCTGTTTCATCTGTGTGATGTTAATTAAATCACAAGCTATTGTGACTGATTAAAAGTTGTTTGAAAATCAAGGGCTTGGAAACGTGCTTATACTATATGCATGGTGACAACCTGTGTGCCCTTGACTGTTGAGGTAGCATGAAAATCCAAAGGATGCATATTTGTTTCAAAACGGATAGAATAAGATAAATCGTAAACTAAAAGAACTTTGCTTTAATTTAATATATGAACAGCGACGTAGCGTGAATTAATGTGAATATGCTAGTCGCTGCTAAGGTTTCTCAATACGTTTTCAGCGGGCATGCTGTCAAGTTTCGTACTGCAAAGCAATGCCAACAAGACATTTCTGTGGTTTGATCGGCATGATTTACCGTTTGATTTATCCTTCAATCTGTTTAATAAAACCGTTTTGACGGATAGAGCAAACCGTTTAAACGGAATGATCAAAACTTTTCCACGGATATGTCAGACCGTTTTCACGGATACACCAAACCGTTTTCACAGGTACGTCAAACCGTTTTCACGGACAGGTCAAACCGTTTTCACGGATAGGGCAAACCATTTTCACGGAAAGGCCAAACCGTTTTCACGGATAGGCCAAGCCGTTTTAACGGGAAGGCAAAACGTTTTAACGGTTAGCCAAAGCGTTAAAACGTTCAGTGTTCTCCGTTTTAACGGATGTTGAACGGTATCAGAACGGTTTTTTAGACCGTTTTTTCAAAACGTTAACGTATGTTTTCCCAAGGAGGGTCACAATTTAGGTAACTTACAGCTTCTTTGAAAAGGAAAATGTTTTACGCAATAAATTATTAAAGCAACAAAATTTATGATCAGAAGCATTAAACATTCAAAGCGAACTTGCCCTATATTTCACGATTTCCGATAGTAAATAAATTCTTCTCATTTTTCAATTAACAAAGATTGCTTTAAAGCTCATTGTGTGAAACCTGATTTTCCAAATATATGCTTTTTAAAATTGAACTCTTGCTTTGATATACTCGGCGTGCTTATCCCACTCCTGGCAAGTCTTCGCTATAGTGTGTTCCTTTCCCGGGCGTAAATAGCCTAGGGAAATTATAGTACCCTCGCCCCGGGCCCGAAACGGCGCTTCGCGCCGTTGGCTCGGGGATAATATTTCAAATGTTAAGTGGCCACTTGCGTAATGGACTAAATTTTGATCTAAACAAAGCTAGACAAAAACATCATCATAGCTTGAAAGAGCATCACAAAATTAGTGATATTTCTTTGCGAAACGTTGTAAAATGCGGATAATATAGCCTTGCGAAATTTGCAATTTTCAGTCATTTTAGACAAGAAATACATGCATGCAACAACCCCTCGCCTATATTTTCCAAAAATTGTTTCAATATGAAGTACTCATAATTACGCCAACACTGAACACATGCTCGCGTTGCACGTCATGTTAGTCATGGCAACACGAATCACGATTTTTTAAATTTTTGTGCAAAGCTGCAAAAAATAGATGAAACTTGAACACTTTTAAACACAGAAATACCAATTTCTAAGATATATAAATGAGGTATATTATTTTGGTTTCTATGGGCTTTATTTTAATGTAAAATTCAAAACAAAAGTCTACGTAAAACGTTTTTAAATGTGAATTGAAATCAGCTGCTTTTTGCCGATATTTATATAAACTCTTCAACTCAAGCTTCTACTTATTTATCGCACCTTGAAAGGAAATAAATTTAATTCGTACAGGACGCTGATGAAAATAATTTGCTTTCTTTTTATAATGAACATCTACAAAGGTTAATTTAACTAAGAAACGTTCGCAAACAATGCACAGGAATGACTTGAACATGAAGAACAAAGTCCACATTAATACAAAGTCATACATAAACAATTGAAACACTGACTTGCCCTATACACTTTAGGATTTCTTACTATAAATCAATTCTTATAAATGTTTACGTTTACTGTAAAAATGGTAAAACATTTTACAATTTGTTATGTGAAACGACTTTCCAAACTTTCCGACATGCATTTTTTATATTTGTTGCCTCTTTACTGCTGGCAAACAGTTATAGTTTGAGATCAGTGAGAGACCATCCACCGAACCACTCACGGTAACCCACGCCCGCGGTCAATAATGAACTTTAGACTACGCTAATGCTTTCGTTTCCCTAGGTGTAAATAGCCGGGGGAATTAGTACCCTCGCACGGCGCTTCGCGCCGCCGGCTTGGGGCCACAAAACATTTTGCATTTGTAAATATTTATAACAACTAATAAGCAATACTTGACGTAAAGTCATGCCAAAAAATCATTTGTTACTGTTACTACTTCCTATAGAAATAAAAATTGGGAATCAAAATTAGGGAGGGAGGGGAACGATACGGATAGCAAATTTTGGAACGTATTTTGGCAGTATGATAGAAAGGCAACAAAGCGCCAAAAGTGGCAGATCAAGGTTGCCTGCAAATGAGGCTACATTCTGCTATCAAAGTTCTTTTGTAAATTATTGTGGGAGCAACCCCTGCACCTATGTACGTGTCTGTCACTGAACAAAATGGCTATTTATTGATGCAGTTACTCTCTCTCTTTCTTTCTATTCTCTTTCTTTCCTTTTTTCTTTTTTTCCTTCTTTTCTTTCTTTCCCTTCTTTTCTTTCTTTACTTTTTTCTTTTTGCAAGCATACCAAATTTTCTGGGACCAATGGTCCCATGGTCCGCTATATTTTCCACCCCTGATTTACACCTCTAATACTGCAAGCTGAATATTTTGATTGGGAATAGTTTTTATATCATAGCTTTCATATTGCTTTATCTATATTTATTAGATTGATGTCTTCAGCTATGGTTTGCTGGTGTTGGAGACGTCCACTTGCCAGCTACCACAAAAAGAAAGAATGGATCAAATAAATACAATGCAGAACGATGGAATCAAGGAATTGGTGAGATGTTGTACAGAATTCAACCCGCAACGGAGGCCAACAATGCAGAATGTGATTAGATTTTGGAAAAACATGAGACAATAAATCGATGCATGGAAACACCCAATTTTAGTACGCTTTTTTTAATCACACCATGCACCAGTAACATGTAGCATTAAATTAACGAACATTTATTAGAAACTGTATTCTAAGACCTGGTAACTCACCTAAACTTGCTGTGAGATATTACAATATTGAATTGAACAGTTGTTGGATAACGTTTGTGTGATATACAAAAATACCAAGACCGATGTAAGTGTTCCTAGTTTAGATAAAATCGAGATTGATAACACTCACCAAAAACATAAATGTTATCAACACTAATATGTAATAATGCATCTAATAAGCACTATAATTACGAATACTGATAATAATATTGAATTCTTTATAATAAATTCTGTTGATAGTCTAGGACATGTATAGAAGTTTGTATTGGTTCCATTTACCACAGGTAATCTCAACTGTTTTAGGGTAAAATGACCATGGCGGTCAACCCGGGACGAAGGTCCTGAATATGACCCCGCCCCGAAACGGCAGTGCCAAGATAGCTCTAACTTCCGAAAAGCAAAAGGACAGCCTTTCTGAAGTGCTTATAGACTGTTTAAAATGGTTACTTTTAGGGGTGGTTGGAAGAAAAAATTTGTCGAAGTATAATATTCAGTACAAGAAAATGACCATGCATGCATGACCCCAGGTAAATTGCTAATTATGCATAAAACTAGAAAATATATGCATGCAGAAACCCTCGCCTCAACCTTGTTCCCAGGCTCTTCCCTCTTTAGGAGGAAAGATCCTGGCAATAGCTGGTCACGTGGCTTTCAGAAAATTGATTGCCTAAGGGGGTTTGGGGAAAGTACCATATTACACGCTTCCGCACTTTACACTTCGATCGTAAGGAGTGTGAGTGCTCTGTACAATCAACTTTGAGAATCACATATACGTCAAAATTTGCTCTTAAATTATAAAAATATGCTAAACAGATTTTTATAGCAACAAGTAAGGAAATCTTATGTTCTCTCGGGGCTTGCCGCTTGGGCGTACTTTAACTGGAAACTTTCATTTCACACGTTTCGGCTCTGCCTTTGGTTCACATATTTACAATCTTATGATATGTCACTAAACAGCTGTTATCTGGAAACGGTATACAGTAAATTTTGAATTGATTTGACTTGATAATTTCAACAGAGGTCTCGAGAGCGACTCAGTGCATGTTTATAGGTCGTGGTGCCTTGGATGTCTTTAGTCGGCAGAAGTTACACATTTGAACACTAGCCAAATTTACTCAAATGACATTGAATGACTATTTTATTATTCTACCTCGCCTTTTATACCTTGCCACGTAAATATTAGCAGATACGGTTTTGATGTGCATCCATGACAAAATGTAGAGACACTTTATAACATAATATTATTATAAGTAATAGCATAGCAAGAGGCGAATTAGCTATTAAAACGTCCCGCCCGATGAGGGTCGTTTAGTAAAATTCCCTTGGGTGCCGCTCGATGTGGGTCATTTAGTAAAATTCCCGAGGGCCGAAGGCCCGAGGGGATTTTACTAAATGACCCGAATCGAGCGGCGCCCAAGGGAATTTGACTAAACGACCCTCATCGGGCGGGACGTTTTCAATAGCTAATTCGCCTTTTTCTATGCTATTACCTTGTAATATCATGATTGCGGGTATTCCCGTTGTTCTCGCAGGGCCATTAAAAACCAATTAACAATAAATAATGGTATAAATTATGTAACAGTTAAAATTGTACACCGAGAACTAATAATGTATGACGTAGGAATGTTGATAGAAATAAGCTGATGTATGAATAGGATAGCACGAGGCAATAAAAGTTAGTTACAAACTGGAACTCAAAGTGTGCGTTTCTCTCGCAAGCATAAATTCGGCACGTTACAAATTGGTGGCAGCGGTATAAATCGAACCTAGAAATGACGACATCAATTCTACCTTCAAAGTTTGAACGAGGCGATTTAACAACGTGGCTTCGTGAATATGATGCTTGCGCGGAGGCAAATGAATGGGACGCAGCAGCCAAAATTAAGAAATTACCAGCTTTCCTTCGAGGTGAAGCAGCTAGCCACTTTTACTCACTCAACCAGGACAGTCGTAAGACATATGCCGATGCTACAAAAGCTTTAAAAGAAGCCATTTGTCCTCCAGCGTGCAAAGAAGTACTTTATGCCGAGTTCGAAGCGAGATTGCTAACACCAGGGGAAGATCCAGCAGTCTACAAGTGGGAATTGGAACAAATCCTTACGAAGGCTGAGTCGAATATCGACACAAGAGCGAAGACAGCGCTATTGACGAGACACTTTATGAAAGGTCTGCCAAAAAACATCAGACTAAAGCTATTGGAAAGTGATCCAACGCCAGATCTCCCTAAAATGGTTTCGTTTGTTCAACGATACCGAGCTATTCAGGACTACACGGATCGAGACAGTGACATTCGTAGTGCTGGTGTTGCGAGCGAAAAGAGTGGCAACGATATGGCCAGTTTAGTTGCGCTGGTTTCAGACATCGCCGTACGACAAAAGAATTTAGAAGAGAAGCTCTCGAAAACTGAACGAGATAGAAAGCCGGAGCTGACGCAGAATCGAAGCAACAAAAAGTGTTTTGTATGTAGAAGGATGGGCCACATCGCCAGGGATTGTTGGTACAATGACCAGAGACAAAATCAGAGCCAGACGACTGACTACTCCAACAGATGTTATCAATGCCAGGGATACGGACATTTTGCCAAGGATTGTGCTAACTATTTAAACTCCAAGCGGGCGATACGATAAGTGGGGTTACAGATCGCCCTGGGGTAAGTCGTGAAAGTAATGATATTTCAATACCCACACAACCTTTTATTAAATGTTTTATAAATAACGTAGAGGTACTTGCACTAATTGACACTGGTTCGATGAGAACGTTCATAAGTAATAAGATTCATAACATCATTGATTTTGATAGTAAGTTAATTGATACCAACGTAGCAGAACGCTGCGTATCTATTACAGGGGGTAACTTAAATATTCTTGGGCATCTCAGCTAGTGCAAATGTAAAGTTTTCTAAAAGTAAGACAACGTACAGGGGACGTTTCCTTGTTCGCGATAACATCAGTTACGACTGTGTGTTAGGGTGGGACTTCCTTAAAGAGAATAAGTTAAGTATACAAGGGGATTTTGACAGAGGGTTTAGCTCCTATTACTTAACGGGCTCTCACGGGCGGACCAAATTGTGTTTATCTTCCCCACCCAAAGGTGACTCGGTATCTGGAGTGACTGAGGCGAGCGATGTCCCTGTCAGTGGAATTCCAGAAACATGCACGGGAGACAATTCAACTGTCCTTATTCAATCGCGTATGAAAGCCGACATTACTGTAGTTTTAGACCAAAATTTTATCGTGCCTGCTAGAACAGAGATGATCGTAGAAGGTAGATTAGTCAAGTCAGCACAGGCAGACGTAGGTATGGTAACACCATTTATTAATACTGATTTAGGTGACGGCATGCACGTCGCACACACGGTAGTTTGCCCTAAAGGTAGAAATGTTTTTGTTAGAGTCATGAACGCGCAGAGTGAACCAAGAGAGCTAAAATTTGGTACCAAAGTTGCAACATTTAGTCCACTTGTCCAGTCTCAGAGCAAGGTCAGTAGTGCTAGCTGCAGTGTAAGAACAAATAATGCGAAAGAATGTAAGGCCAGGTTCGAAAAGGTTATCAACTGTAATTTAAATGAAACTGATAAAAATAGCATTCTCGAGGTTTTGTCTGAATTTGAAGACGTGTTTGAAGCGACAATAGGTCATACGGATGTGGTGACACACACTATTGATACAGGTAATTCGACCCCAATTAAACATCGCCCACGTCGCTTGCCTTACGCATACCGAGATGAGGCTGACAGACAAATCAAAGAAATGTTATCACAGGGTATCATTAGCCCTAGCAACAGCCCTTGGTCAAGCCCAATTGTTTTAGTGAAAAAGCGGTCAGGGGAACTACGTTTCTGTATGTATGTATGTATGTATGTATGTATGTATGTATGTATGTATGTATGTATGTATGTATGTATGTATGTAAACTTTATTTAAGGACGTTAGCCTCGTCAACGATTTGTTGATTTTCACGAGGGACGTCTGTTACTATTAAAAATTACAAATATGATATAGAAAAGAATAAAGAATTATATACAACTATTTACAATACAAGAATTGAGTTCCAAACGGTGTGACCCATATTTCTAAAGCATGCATATACAGTATATTAGAAGATGTTAGCGTGAAACTTTCAGGCAGTTTTTAAAAGAATAAATTGATTGCGCTAGCTTCGCATCAGAAGGAAGACTATTCCACAATTTAGCTCCGCTATACTTAAAGCTTTTTTTTAGAAATTCTCGTTTTGGCTTAGCAAGGGTAAGGTCAGTATAAGTATTGCGAAGATTATAACTGGTTTGAACAAGGTCCCTTCTCGTTAGAGCATCCTTCAAGTTCGGCCCAGCGCAATCATTCAGGACTTTATACATTAATGTGGATTTAGTTGTACGTTGTCTTATCTCTAAATTTTCCCAAGCAAGGGATCGAAGAACATCAGCAGACCTTATTTCATAGCTGGCGCCGGTTATAATTCTCGCTGCACGGTTTTGGAACTTTTGCAGCTTATCTTTCAGCTGTTGGTTACAGACGTCCCATAATGGACTACAATAATCAAAATACGGTTCTATCAAAGCTCTGTAAATGGTATGCAGGGTATTTATAGGAACATATGGCTTAATTCGTTTCATTGCTCCTATTATTATTATTATTATTTAAAAATATTTTAAAACGGTAGCTCTTCAGGGCTCGTAGGCACCTGTTTTTCAAGAGGCCGTTTATTACAGTATTTACAAGCTATTTAAATGTAATAACACAAATATACACACAAAAACAGAGAAAACATAACGAACTTAATAATTGCATGCACTACATTTGTATCTAAAAATATTCTATCCTATTTAAATATTTACAAAGTTAGCAAAAGGAATCAAGTGCCGTCAAGAATACGTTTAAATTTGATAAGGCTAATGCCTTTTTCTTTTGCTGTAGTTGATAAGTCATTCCAAAGGGATGCAGCTGAATAACTGAAGCTCTTTTTCATAAAATTTGTTTCAGGTTTTCCAAGATCATAGTTGTTATTGTTACTTCTTAAATCATATCTGTCATTTATTTTAATTTTGAACATGTTGCAAATTGATGATGGCATTTTTTCGTTTCGTATTCTGTGCATAAAAATCGATTTATTGGTTTTATAGCGTTGGTTTAAAGGTTGCCAGTCTAATTCTTTTAAAACATCCTCAGAACTAACTTCATAAGTTTTACCAGTGATGATTCGGGCCGCTCTGTTTTGTAATTTCTGAAGTCTGTTTTTTAAGTAATCACAACAGTTATCCCAAACCAAGCTACAATAATCAAAATGTGATAGCACAATGGCATTATATATTTTTACTAAGGTTGATTTGGGAACAAACTGTTTTATTCGTCGCATCATTCCTATTCCTTTTGAAGCTTTTGTGACAATATTTTGGATTTGATGATTCCATAAAAGATGTTCATCAATAATTACGCCTAAAGTTTTTGATTTGTGAACCCGTTTAATGACTGATTCACCAAGCTCAATTTTAGGGTCCGTTAGTACTAAGTTTGAAATTCGTTGTCTTGAACCAATAATCATGTATTCAGTTTTATCTTTGTTAAGTGTAAGTTTGTTTGCAAGTAACCATTGGTGTATATTTTCTAAGTCCACATTAATGCGTTCTTGTAGTTCGTCATTTGTTTTGCCATTGGTTGAAACATTTGTGTCATCGGCAAACATGCTTGCTGAAGATGAGGTCAGGCAGTTTGGCAGGTCGTTTATATATAATAAGAAAAGAATTGGCCCAAGATTAGAACCTTGGGGTATTCCACATTTAACTGTTCTTGTCTTGGACATTGTTTGATCTACCTTACATATTTGAATCCTGCTAGAAAGATAGGACTGGAACCAAGCAAGCGTATGACCTCTTATTCCATAACAATGCATTTTTTTTAACAATATATTATGATCAACACAGTCAAACGCTTTCTTGAGATCCAAAAAATTCACTCCATTTAACAAACCATTATCCATATTCATTAGCCATTGGTTCGTGATGTTAAGTAGAGAAGTTTGTGTAGAGTGATTTTTCCTAAATCCTGCTTGTTGTTCTGCAAGAATGTGATTAGTTTCAAGATAAATTTCTAGTTGCTCTGTAACTAATTTCTCATATATTTTAGCAACTGAGGATAGAACCGAGATTGGTCTATAATTATCGCAATTAGTTTTGCTTCCAGCTTTATGAATGGGAGAAATGATAGCAATCTTGAAGTCTTCAGGAAATATACCAGTGTTTATAGATGCGTTAAAGATTGCTGACAGGGATGGTGCTATTACCTCAGCAGCGTCTCTTAGAAGTTTACCGGGTATTCTATCATGCCCTGCTGATTTAGATGTTTTAATTGTAGAGAGCAACTTATGTACCTTAGTTAATGAAACATTTTGTATCGTAAATTGTGTATCGGACCTAGTCACGTATGACTCAAATGTCCTTGAGCTCTGTGGCATGTTATTAACCAAACGAGATGCAACTTCGTTGAAATGTGAATTTAAAGCATCTGCAATTTCATGTTTTTTAGTCAAATTTTGATTATCGTTCTGGATTTCAGATATAACAGTTGTTTTTGACTGTTTGTTTGTAAGTTTATTAATCGTTTTCCACATTTTCTTTGGGTTGTTATCACAGTCATTTAAAGTATTTGTAAAGTAAATTGCTTTTGTATTCTTAATTAATCTACCGGGTGTCCCAAAAAAAAGTACTCCGGTTTGATTTATAATAACTTCTAAACAAGTAAAGCTATCAAACAGAAATAACTTGCATTAAATAGAGGAAGGACTAACTTAGATTTTGATATATTACAGTTGTATTTTACCTAAAAATTCACGGAGATATTAATGTTCAAAATCGGGAGCGTATTTTGGGATGTGTCTAAAATTAGCGAAAATCGCCATATCAAATATTAACTCCAGCGTTTGTTTGCTTAATGACATATCAGGCTCACTTGTATTTCAGCGAATTGTCGGTAGTATTTGTAAGGGATATGGCGTAGATTTAGACATCTTACATGTAAGTCTTAGCTCATTTTTCCTGAAATATGAACGTTCGAAATTATGCAAGTATTTAATAGGTCTTTACAAACTTAAAGGTACATGAAAGACCATGCAAGGCAGGCGCTTAAATGTTTCTTAATTTAATTAAATAGCCTAATTTTTTTATGTTTATCATGAGTTCAAAACAGAGTTGATTATTTCGCGGTTAGAGCAGGATGAATATTATTCTTTAATGAAGGAAATAATGTTGCTTTTTGCAAATACACATCAGAGTATCAACGCTACTATTTTGTTACGTTTTGTTCCAAAAATGTTGGATGTCTCTGGGGAGTTGATTGTTATGTCTTATGGAGTTGTATGGTTTGATTGTGTTTTTCATTCTCAGTTTATTCTGAACTTGCCAAGATTAAGAAAAGGCAAAGGAGTTTGGGCGTTCTTAACAAGATTTCAGAACGTTGCAGAAGTTATAAGAGCTTCACAATTCCATTGTGACAACATGCCCTAATTCAGAACTACGAACGATCCATGACGATCCTTCGTGATGCAGTGCTAGTGTTCTCATGAAATAAGGAAACGTATTAATTCGTGTTAGGAACACACGCGGATTTCGGACGAATAAATCTTGCTTGTATATTGGAGATAATAATACTTTGTTTCATAATAAACAATTTGTCAAGTGTCATTTATCTACTGGTAATAGTGCATGTTTCAGTCGGGCAAATCTTGATTAATATTTGATACGCCGTTTTTTGCATATTTCGGACACATCCAGAAATATGCTCCCGATTTTAAACAATAATATCTCCGAAAATTTTTAAGTGAAATACAACTGTAATATACCAAAATCTAAGTTAGTTCTTCCTCTATTTGATGCAAGTTATTTCTCTTTAAAAGCTTTACTTGTTTAGAAGTTATTACGAATCAAACCGGAGTACTTTTTTTTGGGACACCCGGTAGTCAAATCATTTCGTGTGCGTTTATAAGCATCATGGAAATGTTTTGATCCTGTCTTAACTGCTTTTTTCTTTAAAAAGTCTCTTCGACGCATAGTTTGTTTAATATTTTCTGTAATCCATGGCGCGTACTCGCTTCTAACTTTTTTTGTTCTTTCTGGTGCATGAAAATCTGCAACCGACAGAAATATTGTTTTCCAATTTTCCCACATAATATTTGGATCAAGCATTGTATCACAGAATACTTGATCATATAAGTATGTGGAAAGGTCTGATTTAAAGTTGTTTGAGTTGTAGTGTTTGAAATTTCTTGATTTAATCACTTTTGGCTCTTTACGGGGAACGGAAATTTTTCTCTGTATATAGATTAAGCTGTGATCACTAATCCCTAGATGAATGACACCCGAGCCATTTATCAATTCCGGTTTATTGGTGAATGCTAGATCTATTAAGGTTTTACTATTAGCTGTAATTCGCGTTGGTTCACTAATTAATTGTTGAAATTGGAATGTCTGTGCAATTCCAGCAAGCTTGTTTGTCTGAGCGTTAGCGCTGTTACTATCCAAGCGAGACCAATCGCAGTTGTAATCTCCAAGTAAAATTATTTCCTTGTTTTCAGAGTCCATTCGAGTAATTAAATCGTCGAATGCATTGAATATTTCAAGTGTTGTATTGGGTGATTTATACCAACTATTAATTAAGAATGGTTTGGATGTTGGTTTTGAAATTTCAAGTGTAATTGTTTCGAGATTATCGTCAGTTAAATCGTCTCTTATTATGAAGTTTATTGAGGTTCTTATGTATATTGCGACTCCACCACCATGCCTATTCCTGTCTTTTCTCACAATATCATAACCATTAATTTTGATCTCTTGATTTGAGACAGACAGGTCAAGCATGGTTTCGTTAACGCTAATTATTTCAAATTGTTGTTTATAAAGATACAGCCTTAGTTCATCGATATGCTTGATTAAGCTTCGTACATTTAAATGAGCGATCTTGAATCCTTTAATCGATCAGTATGCTTATTACTATCAGTATTCTTGACCGCGGCTTGATTTCAATTTAAGGATTGATTTTTTAAAAACTGTTTTATGTTTCTTGCCAGTGCAGTTGTTCCTCTTTGGTTTAAGTGCAAACCATAGCTATTTAAATGAGTCTTAGTGATACTTTTATGTGTAATAAATCCCCAATTGCGTTCAGTACATAGATTGTCTAATTTATTATTGTAAATGTTTACCTTATCAGCAAGTTGCAAATCGTCGGTTCTTGTGATGACTTCCGACAGCGTAAGTTCAATACCACTTATTTCTTGCGTTATAGCCTCTCCAAGTTTTGTTACAGCTTTAATTAACGCATCTGGCGATTTCGTTTGCAGGTCATTGGTACCTATGTGCAGGATAATATGCTTTGGTTTCTTTTGGAGCGTCGGTTTAACATAGTGGGTCATTTCGTCAACACCAGCTCCAGGAAAGGTTTTTATTGATATCTTTTGGTCAATTCCTTGCTGAATTCGTCGGGGATTCAAATGTTTTAACATTGAATCCCCTAAGATTACAATGTTAGGTTGCCTTTGTTTTGTCTTTGTTTTCCGTTCGTCCAAATTTAATTGACAATCTTGTATGTTTCCTTTGGATTGCTGGCGTCTTTCGATCTTTCGACTATTTTGCCCGCTTCGGCGTTGGTTTGGTTTGTCTCCGCTTTGCCTTGGCTTGTCTCCATGTTTGGCTGATATATCTGTGTTATTATGTCTAGCCTCTGATTGATCCAGATCTGATGCAGATTTGTTTACTTCTTCTTTGTGGTCACTAACGCTGAGAACTTCGAACTGGTTCTTTGACTCATATGATATAGTTGTATTTGGTGTTATGGATACATTTTCGCTACGTTTTTTAACTTTTGCGAATTCTCGCTTTTCTCTGTTGCTCTTATCAAGGTCTTCTTGTAGCGTTAAAAACAGTAGATAATCAGATGAAATGCCTTTGGTAACTGTGTATTTCGTAGTGTAAGTGTCGTCGACCCTATATAGTTCTTGCAGTGTTTTCGATTTGAAACTTCACACTATCCTTGGATCCCTAGTTATTATTCAATTCATTTAAATTAGGAATCCAGTAGGGACGTAGCGGGTAATATACAGGATAATCTCAACATCCGGTATCGGGCCGGATATGCAAAAAGTTGCTCAAAAAACAATTAAATTATTTTCCGCACAGCTGACTCGCTTTGAATTCGAAAATACTTTGAATTAGAAAATATAATCACTTAAAGCGACCCATGTTTACTTTTCTTTACACAGAAGACAAAATAGGCTAGTATACAAAAATCATTTAATGACAATTCTATTGTGGCTATAAGTGAAAGACAAATAATGATTGAACAGGTCAATGAATATTTGGCCAACCAATAAGGTAGGGATGTTATATAACTTATAATATAACTTACTGACCGAGAGTGAGGGCAGTACTGGAAAATATCCAACCGAGGACTTTCTGTGTTGACCGAGCTATAGCGAGGTCAATACAGCAAACCGTGGTTGGATATTTTCCCGTACCTCCCGAACGGTTGAGGTCAGTGTAAGTGTTTTACTATATCGCATTTTATTATATTACATTTGCAAAAAATGTGAGGGAAAGTCACGCGAGGCCTTCAGTCTTTTGAATGGTGATTTTTAAGGCGCATTTCAGCCCTTTTAATAGACCTTTCCCCTTATAACCAAAATTTTGATCTAGGCAAGTCTAGACAAATATTTCATCACAGTTTGAAAGAGCATCACAAAATTAGTACTAGAAAATACATGCATGCAGAAACCCTCGCCTTGCTGACAAAACCATTGTATTTTCCGAACATGAAGTATCTAAGTTGTCATGGTAACACGATAATTTTTTAAGAATATTCTTACAAATGAAAAATCGCCTATAAATATCACTTTTAATCACAAAATTATTAATTTCCCAACATATATATGTTAGGTATGTTATTATACGTAATATAAGCCTCGATTTATGGTAAAATTCAACCACAAACGCTTCGCAAAGCGTTTTAAAGTCATTAGTGTTCTTTAATATAAAACTAAACTGCCTTTTAAAATGGCTTTATCGATAAACTTTGAGTTTGCAATAAAATGATTTAAAATTCTCGCTTGCAAATAACTTTGCTTTGTTATTTATTTAAAAAATTCAATATCATAAAAAAGGGAATCAATATTAAAGATACACTGAAATTATATGCTGTCTTGTTTAGTTGTTTCATATACGCAAAGGCCGTCGGGTTTTAAATCCATTATAAAATCAATATTTAAAACAAACTTACCTTCGTTAACGTCGGCTCCCTTCTTTTAGCCGATTCTTTCGCAGTTTCTTTCTCAGAGAGCTTTTGAAATTTACAAAATCTTGCAAAAATGCGAGCAAAATGAAATATATTTGCAAGAAATTTATCAATCATCAAATCAAGAAATGTTTGCTATTTCGCTGTCGTCATGCAGTCGTTATAATGCAAACTTTAAATTGGACCAATCAGTGTCCGCTATTCGTGACAGTCCGCCATATTTTTGAGATCAGTGAGGATGACCACCCACCCAACACCGTTGGTGACCCACGCCCGCGATATTTGATGAACTTTAGACTCCGCTAATGCTTTCGTTTCCCCGGGTGTAAATAGCCGGGGGGAATTAGTACCCTCGCACGGCGCTTCGCGCCGTCGGCTCGGGGAATATTCCAAAGTTTCGTTGCGAAATGTTGTAAAATGAGGAAAATAGAGCCTTGCGAAGTTTGCAATTTTCAGTCATTTTGCATTACAAACGGGAAATTGTAGCCCCAACACACGAATCGGATGTCAATTTCCCGTTTGTAATGCAAAATGACTGAAAATTGCAAACTTCGGAAGGCTATATTATCCGCATTTTACAAGATTTTGCAACAAAACTTTGGAATATTACTAATTTTGTGATGCTCTTTCAAGCTGTGATGAAATTTCTACGAAACTACGAAAATCAATTAAGCATAATTCAAGATCAGCAAACTAAATGTTTTTAACATTTTAAAACATTTTTATTGTTATAAACATTGAGTTTACTTATCTTGAATTATGCATAATTGATTTTCCTAGTTAGTTTTTTTTTAATTAAAAGGGCTGAAATGCGCATTAAAAACCATCATTCAAAAGGCTGAACTGTGGAAGAACTGAAACACTTTTATTAAAAGTTCGCTTGGTAGCTTTCCTCGACTTTCCTCTAGCTTATTTATTATAATTATGTATTGTGTTCTTCCTCGGACTTCTTCACCTTAACCGGAAAAAAACCCCGGTTAGGCAGCCTGTGTATGTAATCCGCTCTCAGATTGTTCGTGTTCTCATAACCTAAAAATTTCACCATTAGCATATAAGAAATAGTAATATCTCTGATCCCGAGTTATACCAAAACTTTATCAGCGGCTTGCGCTTGTCTCTTGTAGATACAATTTTCAAGCCGCAAGTATAGATAGATTTTCTGTTCGGACTTCTTATTGTTTCAGACATCGTTATGTATATTTTACAGCAAAATCCCAGAGGAAACGTGGTTTAAATACAAGCAACAGTAAACCTGGAGACTCGCCACAGATTAACATCCCTAGTGATATTGGTGTGGTGATAGCTGAAGAAGCTAAGAAAGTGGGACAGCAAATGAGAATGTAAGTTTAATGAGTTTGTTGGGGGGTATCGGTAGACTTCATATACCTTATAGTGTTGGCCGCATTTTGCGCGATGCTGCTGTGGGTAGGTGGGCACCTCCCCTGAGATATTTTCCACCTCCCTTGAAAATTCATGCACTTCCTCTTGAAAAAGTTAAATGATGGGTCAAAGTCAAAGTTTGACTCAAACGTCACACAGAGATGATGATCCGTATCCCAACGGATTCATCTCACTTTTCTCTTCATCTTGAGATTACGTACAGGGGAATGTAGGCGTACTAAATATAAACTTGGAGGCGAAAAGTTTTATTTGAAGTCCACCGTGTGTTAGTACTGTTCTGGGTCCAACTTTTGTCCTACATTTGTCCTATATTTTTCCTACTCTATTCTTGCTTTTCCTAAAATGCTAGCTAACCCTATTTTATCTTACTGTACTTATTTTACATAAGGATGCCAGCTAAAGCCCACAGATCTAGAGATTATAAAATAATAGTGTGGGCATTGTGGGGAACTAATTGTGGGGAACTAATTGTGGGGAACTAACGGTTTCGAGAGCTACGACGTAGTATCAAAAGCTTGATAAGATCTAAGAAGCGTGAATACATTTCCACCATGGCAAGCTCAGTTAAAGATAAACCCAAGGATTAATTTCTGGAGATTATTGAAAGCTAAGACGAGCGGCTCTTCTCTTCCTGACACTATGACTCACAACGACCAACAAGTCACAACTGCAGAAGGGAAAGCCGATGCTTTCAACAAATATTTCGCCTCCATTTTTCGTCCCGTTTCGCCAAGTTCTCCCATTGTTTCTCCGTCTCTTTCCAGTCAGAATAATCTCGATTCTATTATCAACAGAAGAAGTTAGTTATCTTCTACTAATAAAACCTCTTGACGGACAAAGCCACTGGACCTGATGGAATATCTGCCAGATTGTTGAAAGAATGTTCGAACAAATTGCTCCGTCTTTAACAGCGCTATTCAACAAGTCCCTTTCTCTCGGTAAAGTTCCTCAGGAATGGAAAGAAGCTAACGTAGTTCGCTTCCTAAGAAAGGTCACATTCATGAAATCAGCAATTACCGAGCGATTTCCTTGCTGTCCTTAGTCTCCAAACTTCTTGAACAAGTCGTTCATATTCACGTGTCTGAGTTTGTTCAATCCTTGCTAAGTGACTTACAACATGGTTTTTGCAGAAAACGATCTTGTACCACTCAACTTCTTCGCGTTTTCACGACGTTGGCGTGGCTTTAGATTCCGGAAAAGAAGCTGACATGATTTATTTAGACTTCTCGAAAGCCTTTGACGCATTTCGGGTACATTGTTGAAGTGGTTCACGGATTACTTGAATGAAAGGCGACAACGAGTGGTAGTTGACGGAATATCATCCTCCTTTCTTTACGCAACGTCAGGCGTCCCACAAGGGAGTATAATTGGACCTCTTCTATTCTTGATCTTTGCAAACGATCTTCCGAACGCAGCTAAGCACAACACGGTTCCTATGTTTGCTGATGACAGTAAATGTTACCGTCAGATAACCCAGCCACGTGAAAGAAATCTACTTCAATCCGTCCTGGATTCTCTCCATCATTGGTCATCCACATGGGATCTAAATTTTAATACCAAGAAATGTGCCGCTCTCCGATTTTCACGGAGAAAAACGTCTGCTCCAACCCAAGGTTTTGTCTTATATCAAAAACCATTTAAGTTTTTCGCGACTCAGAATGATTTGGTATCTTGGTTAGCAACGATTTGAAATGGTCCTCTCATGTTATCAATATAGTCGCTAAAGCTAACAGAATGCTTGGGTTTCTACGACGAAATTGTTTCCACCTCACTGATGTGAACGCTCGTCGCCTTCTGTATCTGTCTCTGGTTCGTTCTCACTTGTCATTTGGATGTGAAATCTGGGCCCCTCAAGGACCTTCTGCTGCTTTGCTTCGTCTCGAGGGCATTCAACGTCGAGCTACGAAATTCAATCTCAAAGATTATGAATCTTCCTATCCTGATCGTTTGAAAAAACTCAATCGAATTCCTCTATCTTATTGGCATGAATTAAAGACATCATCTTCTTCTATAAATGCAAATCTGGACTGTACGAACTTGACACGAATCAATTCATTAACCAACCTCTTCATCACTCAATCCGTTCCAGTTCTGGCGATTTTTTTCGTCCAAATTTCTGTAAAACTTCTCTCTTTAGAGACTCGTACTTTAATAGAATTGTTTTTTTGTGGAATAATCTACCTTATGGTATAAAAGCGTCCTCTTCAGTTGCTATCCTTAAGACTAAACTTATATATATATACCGGGTGGGGCAAAAAAAAGTACGACTGTTTGATTTACTATGACTCAAAAACTAAAAGAGCTATTACACTTAAATAAATCACCCTATATTCCGCGATGTTTAACTTAGATTTTGATATATGTCTGGTGCATTTTCATGCGATTATGACTGAGATAATTGTGTTTAAACTTACGCGAACATTTTTGGAACCGCCAATAATTAGCTGAAAAGCCCGTATTAAACTAATTCAATAACCGTTACGATTTGTTCGCGATTATTGTTTCAATGAAGTGATGTCGAAGTTATAGAAATATTTCTTCATTCACAGACTTTTTATTTTTTGTTTTACGATGTTGGACAATGGATGTGAACTTATAAGGCCGATTTTATTAAAAGTTTTGTTCGTAGAAGGTATCCGATACCCGTGGGATAGGTAGTCTGTATGTTCTAATGAGTCTAGAACGAGTTGTCCCATTTCACGGGCAAGATGTTGCAATTGTGCCGGGGAACATGAATTTTCTGATGAATAGATGATTGCTTTTGAACAACAAGCGTTAACGTATTGACTATAGAGTATAACGCGTCTTAACACAAGTTGTTTTTGTATATAAAGGTATTAATATTTAATAGGCCGTTTTTAGCTTAATTCTCTCAGTTTCAAAAATGTTACTCTTGTTCAAATGCACGTATCTTTGTCAATATGGCATGGAAATGTGCATGGCATATATCAAAATTTAAGTTAGACATCGCTGAATGCCAATAAACGTGTTTTATTGCAATTGCTCTTTTAGTTCTGATGTTATACCAATTCAAAGAGTCGTACTTTTTTTTGCCCCACCCGGTATATATATATATATATATATATATATATATATATATATATATATATATATATATATATATATATATATATATATATATATATATATATATATATATATATATATATATATATAGGGTGTATAAAAAAAACGGAGTCCAACTTTTGTGCTTAATAACTTTCGTACTGCTACTTCTAATAAAACGGTTTTAGGCTTATTTTATAGCCTGTTCATTTATCTTTCGACCAAATGGTCATCCGTGTCTTTAGTGCAAGTAATAAATGCACAGGAGAAAATTTAGTAAAACCTATCATGTTTAGATGCCACTTAATTATACAAATTTACTGTGTTATTCCATAGTCGGTTGCAATGTTAGAATTTTTTTGTTCAAACTTTAATGTTCTTGTTGCCACATCGGAAAAACTAGTAAGAACTTGTTAAAAACATTCTAAAAGAGATTAGGTTGTTTTATTTATTTCAAAATCCTATATTATTTCCAGAAATCATCAAAACAACCTTACGTCCATGCATCGTCCGAACGAGCACCATCGAATCGGGCCGTAATGTAAATATAAATTAGCAAGTTGACAGCAAGCTAAAACACGCTTCAGCCCGTATTATAACGCATTTGAAGTCAGCAAGTGAATTTAAAATAGTGTATTGGAAGCCATTATTACTTGATTTTTACAAGCAATTGCCAAAATGCCTCAATTTGCTCGTTTTGTTGACAAAATAAGTTATTTTCATCAAGTACCGGTTTGTTATTGCATCTCAAATTTTTGACTCTCCAATCGCAATCACTTAAAATATTATTATTCACGAACTTCTGGATTATATTTACGAAACAACCCACCGTTGAAAAGCTGAATGTCTATATACGCTTTAAAATAAATGTAAACCTGGACGTTTTGCTTTAATATTCGTTTCGAAATTTATATTTGAAGCGAGGACCCCGTTTTTTATGATACACCGTTTTTTATGCGTTGATGGCCCGTATTGTACCACATGCGCTTGGGAGAGCAAGTGTCATGTATATCAATACGAAAGTCATCGCGTGTCTAGATGTGTACCAAGCTGCACTGATGAGGCGTAGGACGCCGAAACATGCATGTCTGCAGATTGTACTATATATATATATATATATATATATATATATATATATATATATATATATATATATATATATATATATATATATATATATATATATATATATATATATATATATATATATCATACCAATAAACTGAACACTGTCTAATTCGATATAAATAGACCTAGAACGTGGAAAACTCTGTGTAGCAAGTGTCGTTCGTTGCAAACAAACTGTTGTTCGTAAATATGTAGGAATGTATAGTCATAGTTCATGAATACTGTGATTGTAATTTTATGTACCGTTATATGTTTAGTGTAATTTTTGTTAATTTTTTGGTTGGACTTTATAAGGAACTAATGTTCTGTTGTCCTTTCCATCAATCGTGCGATTGTTAAGTTAATAAAAAAAAAAGAAGAAAATCGGGAGACAAATTCAAGCTCCTAATGAGGGCAAATAGCGCGCTCTGTCTGGCTAAAATCTCGTTGCCCGGATGTAAAGTTTCGTTTCCCGGATGTAAAGCCGCAATGTTTAGTAGAAGCGGGAAATTATGAGACTAACACAACTTTGAAGCCATTGATTTTTTACAGTTTTAACATAGTTCAAGCAAGGACTGAAAGCTTGAATGTTTTAAAGATTGGTGTTTTCTTCGTGACTTCGGCACGTCTAAATTTGTATCCTCTTACACGATATAAAACGGAAATTCGTCAACTTTTTTCGCCACAAATAAATGTAAAACAGTCAAGACGGTTGATAACACCAGGATCGAATACTTGAATTATAGCCAAAAAATAAATAATAATAATTTCTTGGTTTTACATCCGGGTATAACTAAAATTCCCCGCTATTTGCAAGCTTCAATTTATCCCTTTCGTTTGCCTGAATTTTTCCTACAATACCTCCTCTACTCTTATAATCTCTATCATAAACCTGATTTACTGTATTTACAATCATCACGGAATTTATAAACTATTTTTCTGCTTTGTTTTCCTCATCTTGCAGTAATTCCCAGTCTGCGAAGTACACAAATGTTGAAAGACCAAAAGAAAGCCAGCCGACTGTTCCAAATGATCCCACGAGTTCCCCGCGTAATGCAACTGCTCTGGAGAACTACAGGGAAGTTAACCATGTCGAGTTAACTGGTGATATTCACAGTACAAGTGAACAGCAGAATATTCTAGCTGATGGCATATTAATGGAGCAATTGGCAGGCATCCAAGGTGCTATAGATGTTATGGAAAATCCCGAAGTCACTGATGAGGAGGACAGTTTGTCTCTGTTAATGAATGTTATAGAAAGTGAAGATTTGAGCAGTGTTCTTAGTGACATGCCCTGGAATCTTATATGATAGGATTCCTCTAAACACACTTTGAGTATTCCTTGGAATGATACCTTTAGAAACAGTACTGGCGGACAGTAAAGAAAGTTTCTGAAACATAGCAGATTATCATAAATAATGTGTTAAACTGCTCGAGACTTCTTTTATTCTAGATAGATAGATACTAGATAGTGAGTTTTATTAGTAGTTAGAAAATGGAACCTAGGCCTTCTGGTTGAATTACGTAAATGTTTAGATATAAGTCACTTAAAATACATCATGGAGTTATGTGTTATAAATAAAAAGTATTTTTAAATCAATTTGTTTTACTTGTATTTTCTTTTACTCGGTAATAATTCATAAAATGTGTCGTTGTGGTAATTTAGAATGTCACTAAGAGAAGTTTTTGTATGTTACGTAACACGAGCTCAAAACGAATGAATATGATACACCACTTGCGTGGTTGTGACTACATTCAAAAATTTTAATTTGTCGGTACGTTTCTCAATCGGAAAACAAACTTTGTAAAAGTTTATTTAGTGCTTTATCTGTAAAGTAGTGTTATAACGAAGAGATTTTAGATGGTACACCAAAGCGAAAATTATGTCTGAAGTTCAGTAAGTGTTGCTTATATTGTTGTAAAAATGGCGTCACAGTTACAGGGTAAGTAATCATTATACTTTTTAAAGTTTGTTCGTTCACTGCAACCAGCTATATCAATCATGTTTCGCTCGCTACTCTGGTTTAAATAAATGATTATAAAGCCCAGTCGAATTGTAATCAAAACCCAACGTTTCGACACTCCATTCTAGTGTCTTCATCAGGGGTGATCATCTAAAATTGCAATCGTGGCTTCTTAAATACCCAAGCTAGGGGTGACGTCACCTGCCAATGAGATGCATATATTCCTCTGCCAAATAGGCACCGTCATCCCTATTGAAAGCATGATTACTCATATTTTTTAATGCCACGCTTCTAGGCAAAGTCGTTGACCATAGCGATTGTTTGTGGTAATTACTTTAGAGTTTTACCACGCAATCTCGTGTTTGGTGTAATATAGATGTTCGGCTAAAGCTGATTTTCCCTTGTCTAAAGTTGAAACAGCCTTTTGATGTTCTTTTGGCCGTGTACCAAACTGGCGTTTAGACTCACCTAACTACTCTTTCTCGCAGTCACCGCATGGTATAGAATATACAGCATGAGTTTCCTGATTTGTTTTAACAGCATCTTTTGACTTTGCGAAAATATGGCCTAAAGTCAAATAGGGTTTTAAGGCAACCTTAATATTATAATTACTTAAGATTCTCTTGATTGGTTCTGTGACACCTTGAATGTATGGAACTATTGCATAACCCTTAACAGAGGTATCACCCTCGGAGTTACAGTATTTTGGTTCCTACAAACAGGTGATCTCAGGCAATCGATCTCAGGCAATTTTAAGAAAACGTTTTGGGTAATCGTTTTCCCCTAAAATATTTAGAACATATTCACGTGCATTAGCTTGACAATCACTATTTGACGGCAAGGATTCAGCTCTTTGAAGCAAAGTTTTTGCTACGGATATTTTATGGCTTACTTATAGGTGATGAGAGTCGTATGACAAGTATTTGTCTGTGTGTGTGCATGGGTTTGCGATTAACATCAGTCTCTAACTTCCCTTCGACAGTTCTGTGCACATTCAAATCTAAAAAAGCTAAATGTCCATTTATCTCACGTTCTACCGTGAATTGGATGGACGGCTCAACAGAATTTAAAAGTTGCAACAGACTATCGATTTCATTTCTAGAAACCGCAGAGATGACATCATCGACGAAACGTTTCCAAAACGATAGAGATACCAGAACAGAGGCTAAAGCTCTTCGTTCGACATCTTTCATTGCTAAATTAGCAATTACTGCCGATACTGGTGACCCCATCGCTGTTCCAAAGTCCGAAAATCAGCTTTAGCCGAACATGTATTTTACACCAAACACGAGATTGCGTGGGAAAACTCTAAAGTAATTACCACAAACAATCGCTATGGTCAAAGACTTTGCCTAGAAGCGTGGCATATTAATATGAGTAATCATGCTTTGAATAGGGATGACGGTGCCTATTTGCCAGAGGAATATATGCATCTCATTGGCAGGTGACGTCACCCCTTGGGTATTTACGAACCAACGATTGCAATTTTAGATCACCCCTGATGAAGACACTAGACTGGAGTGTCGAAACGTTGGGTCTTCATTACAATTCGACTGGGATTTGTAATCATTTATTTAAACCAGAGTAGCGAGCGAAACATGATTGATATACCTGGTTGCAGGGAACGATCAAACTTTAAATCTATACGAGAAAAATATGGTCAAAATGTTGTTTCGAGGCTTCGAAAGCTCATCAACATGAAGATTCGTATTGCCAAATATCGTACTCATTTTTAAGTTTTACCGTTCAGCTTGCGATTCAAACCTCCAATACGGGATACAAGCTAATGGAAAATACTGTTTTTTCTTTCCTGAGGTTGCGTATAAACGATTGTCATCAGTCTATACAGCGTCCGCGCTGTGATTGTCAACGTTTACTCGGCGCCGGCGAGCTTTCTGATTTGATCGACTGCTCTGAAGTCCTATGGATCGAAGAGTTTGGTCGTTCGCAATTTCGCAAAGAATCGATCAAACAGAGAGAGAAGCATGACAAAAAATTGCTGCGTCTGATTGGGACGAATAAGCCACCTGATAAATCGAGTTCGAATATTAAAGTGCCTATGACACAAATTTCACCCCAAATGTTTATGATTGCATTGTAAAGATCACTTAAAATGACTTAATAATTTCTTTTATGGAATTTTGGTAACTTGCTTCCTTTTCAAGATATTCAACTTTGTTTCATATGCACGTGAAACATTGTTTCATATGCACAAAAGTATAGTTTTCTTGACTAATACGTATCTAAAAAACTTAAAAGTTGCCCTTGTATATGTATTAATTTCATAACTGGTAATTATTATCGATCCTCTGTATTTGTTTGTAAAAATATTTTATCAAGGTAAAATATTGCGTTTTCAAAATGTCATTATGCGATGTGATGTCACACCGGTGATATTTGCATGCATATGAAACAAAGTTGAATATCTTGCAAGTTTAATAGGCCTACCAAAATTCTATAAAAGAAATTATTAAGTCATTTTAAGGGATCTTTACAATGCAATCATAAACATTTGGGGTGAAATTTCGTGTCATAGGCACTTTAAGAATAGATGGGTTAAAAACCTCTCATCTAAAGAGCTAAGTGAGTTGGAAAGGAAGGGTCTTGAACACGGCCTAAAATTTGCGGTTGTATATACCTAACAGAATTCCAACAGCCGAAAGCATTGTTTCAGTTGAAGAAGGAATTTTTCCACTAGATGATGATGCTAAGCGATTGGTAAGAGCTGAGGTCAGAAGCATTCTTAGACGTGCCAAAATACCTCCAAAAAACATTGATTCGAATGTTTTCAAAGCTTTACTTGCTCTTAAAAAAGATCCGGACAGGGTTATTCTTTCAGCGGACAAAGGCAATTGTGTTGTTGTTTATATGGACAAACATGATTATCGCGAGAAGGCTCTTTCACTGTTGAACAACAGAAATACGTATCATATACTCAAGTCTGATCCTACTGGAAAAACTCAAAGAGGTTTAAACACCAAGTTACTTTTTTTGAAGAAATCCAATATTATCAGCAAGGCTACATATGAAAAGTTATACAGCAGTGATGGACTATCTCCGCGTTTCTATGGTTTACCGAAAATCCATAAACCGGATATTCCATTGAGACTTATTGTGTCCTTTGTGAATTCTCCTACATATGGAGTTTCAAGTTTTTTGGCGAAAATTTTTTCCCCTGTGGTGGGGAATACCGAAAACACTGTCAAAAATTCCTGTCATTTTGCAGAATTTGTAAGAGGTAAAACTCTTAAAGCAGATCAATTGTTGGTATCATTTGATGTGAGTCGTTCTCTTGTTTACAAACATCCCAGTTGATCTTGCCATCAAGGTTACGACAAAAAGACTAAGACAGGATTCAAAGAACCTCCTTGCCTGTAGAAGATATTATTGATCTTCTGTCTTTTTGTCTCAACACCACATACTTTATGTTTGAGGGCTGTTATTATCAACATGTTTTTGGAACAGCGATGGGGTCACCAGGATCGGCAGTAATTGTTAATTTAGTAATGGAAGATGTCGAACAAAGAGCTTTATAGCCTCTGTTCCGGTATCTCTATATCGTTTTGGAAACGTTTCGTCGATGATGTCATCTCTGCGGTTTCTAGAAATGAAATTGATATTCTGCTGCAACATTTAAATTCTATTGAGCCGTCCCTCCAATTCACGGTAGAACGTGAGATAAATGGACATTTAGCTTTTTTAGATTGGAATGTGCACAGAACTGTCGAAGGGAAGTTAGAGACTGATGTTAATCGCAAACCCACACACACAGACAAATACTTGTTATACGACTCTCATCACCCAGTAAGCCATAAAAGATCCGTAGCAAAAACTTTACTTGAAAGAGCTGCATCCTTACCGTCAAACAGTGATTCTCAAGCTAATGAACGTGAATATGTTCTAAATATTTTAGGGGAAAACGATTACCCAAAAAGTTTTCTTAATGATTGCCTGAGACCACCTGTTTGTAGAAACCAAAATAACTCCGAGGGTGGTACCTCTGTTAAGGGTTATGCAATAGTTCCATACATTCAAGATGTCACAGAACCAATCAAGAGAATCTTAAGTAATTGTAATATTAAGGTTGCCTTAAAACCCTAACTGACTTTAGGCCATATTTTCGCAAAGCCAAAAGATCCTGTTAAAACAAACAGAAAACTCATGCTGTATATTCTATACCATGCGGTGACTGCGAGAAAGAGTATTTGGGTCAGTCTAAACACCAGTTTGGTACACGTCTAAAAGAACATCAAAAGGCTGTTTCAACTTTAGACAAGGGAAAATCAGCTATAACGGAACATGTATGTTACACCAAACATCATCGCAGTCAGTGATTTTAGAATCTAATAAATTGAAAATAACGAAAATTATGCCTGGTTGTTGTGTTTGACCCAACATCATTTTTAATAAACAATTGCTATTGTTTTACCTTCTGTAATATCATAGTCACCTCGAAATCTTTTGTCTTACGAGGTACGATTAACGTCACATTTACCTCAAGCTGAGTAAACAGGTACGATTAGTAACTAATCGTACCTCATGTTTAGTAATGAGGTAAGATTAGTTACTAATCGTACCTCATTACCTCTGATTGGAGAGCTGTACCTCATCGAAAATCATCGGCACAACTATGGAC